TATATATATGTACATATTTATATATATATATATATTACACCACACACACACACACACTAATTAATATACATACATATACATACAGAAAAACAAATATAAAGATGTATTGTCAACTAAGGTTTTCTTTTATAAGAAAATTTCATAGAAATTGCTTCATAAGAATTTGGTTATTAAGATATCACCTTTTCACTCTTACTTGATTTCAAATTGTGTTATTTTTCTTGTCATTGTTGAAAAAGTACTTGAACAAAGGATTTTTTTTTTTGTTTCACATGACAAAAACCATAGCATATAGTGTACTCTAGATGTCAAGGGTTCACAGTAACTAGTTACGTAAATTATGAAGCACTTCTGCAAATGTCAAACACAAATGTAAACATTACATATCAGAACTTACTCTGTATCAGATATTAGCTTACCAAGTTCTGGATGCTCCTGAATCCATTCAAGGTTTGACTGCATCCGGTTGCAAAGATGTAGAGGGTCAAACTCTACCTCCATCAACTGATAGAGATTTTGCAATTCTTGAGGGACTGCACTCACCACATTGAATCTGATCAAGTCTCTGCAAGCATATGTTTGAAGCATATTAATAAAGTCTGATCCTATACATGTTTCAGGTTTACTTACAATTATGACAAATATAAAAATGATAAGAAATACACCAATAAGATACTAACTACAAATGCATGGACAATGAACAAAAGTGATCCTTGTAGAAGCAAAAACAATGCTGTCACTACTATTCATGCTGTGAAGCATGAACAAGCTCATATCAGCAACAACTGTGCCAACAGTAAAATATATAACTTATAAATCAAAATATTAGGAGGGTAGAAAGCAATTCTATACCTGATAAGTGAGATACGTGTTGGTGGCTTTGGCAAAGAGAGAAGAGTCGCTAGCTTCTCAATCTTTTCCAAGGCAGACTTCTCAGTTTCAATAAATCTATCAAATTCTGGGTGAGCAGATGGAAGAGGGATCGCTAAAGTAGCAATAAGTACTATGGATGCTCGCTTGCCAAGCTCTTCACCTGAAAATGGGTAAAAAACAAATACTGGTTAGAAAAAAATAACGACTTACTACAACTTCCAACACTTGGTTTGACATTTAACAAGTTTATTCTACCCTGATTTTTGCATCATTTAGCATGATCTGTAAAAACTTGGCTGGTTGTGAGAGAGACATACAGGGGGCATAATAGTAAGTGTATGGCATATTTCCTCTAGCCAAACCCTTTGTTGCTTATTCCCCTCTCCCCCTTCTCCAAATTGTAATATGTATTACATAGCTGCATTCTGTTTCCTTATCGTATGTAAACATATATTTATATACATGTATATATAATTCAGTTTCTACATGCACACACATGCATGTGTGCGTGTGTGCACGCAAGTTTGTATTAATTTTGCTGTAGTAGTGGTAAACTTACTTGTAATGTTTTTCTTTTGGTCCCTCAAGAGCTGGAAGAGCTTGAAGAGTGCTGCAGCATGAAAGAGTTGATTGCCAGCTTTCCAGAACACCAGTGACAATTTTTGGTAATAGGAGGCCATTACATGTGGCTTTGGCATCTTCTTGGATTTATTCATTAAGTCAGAAATATCTTCAATGGCTTTGTAAGCCTCTTGCCATAATTCCATTTTAATAGCATAGTTGAGCTGCTCCAAGCGAGTCTCCAGATTCATCTGTTGAGTCAATAGGCATTTAAATTTAATGCAATTCTCATACTGTCTTGAAGGGTTAATAGCATAAATGAGTTCTATTCAGGAGCAAGTGGTTATCTATGGAACAGGTAAGATAATTGTCAATAATTTATCTTTATAGCCTTCAATTTAAGAAATATGCAAAACTAAAACCTGTAAACTTTTGTACTGTTCATAAAAAGATCATATTTTTAAAATCATTCCTCACTTTGTAGATTAAATATTATATAAGCTTAGGTCTACTGCAACTGCAATGTGCTGATCCTCATTTAAAAAAATGGATATATGTAGTAAGAAGCTAATGGGAAACAAGTATAACTGATCAAATTTCTCCAGCCATCTTTCAAAAATGTGTGTTCCCCAGAAATGGATATATGCAACCAACATAAAAATAAGATTACTCCATCTGCACATAGTAACTCAAATCAGGACTATTTACTCCATCTTAAACCCTAAATGACAATATACAGCAATTGTCATACTCAGATTTTCATGGTAAATAGGGGGAAACCTGGCAAAAATTGATTTTCTCTGGATGCCCTTCAAATGCCAAGTAAACATCTAACAGTTGAAGAATCACTTGAGGTCTATGGCTTACTGTAACTGTCAGTAAACCACAAACTATGGATTTCGCTCATCAATATTGAGAGGCACATTAGAGTAAAGGCAGTGTCACACTTCAATCTTTATTTTGCATCATAATTTTAATGGCACCATGTCCACTATGGTCTTTTAGGCACAGTTCCACTATCGATAAAAAACACAGAACCAACATATATTCACTGCTTGCCCCTACTCTCAACTGGGGGATGGGTGAACATGGCTCCAATATGTAACCACACACACGAAAAATTTAGTTAATTATTTAATTTGTCTTTTCAAATTGTTTCATAATACAAATAGATTTGTTTTGCATTAAAATTGTGATTTCCATTTAAAGCTTAAGAACTGAACAAAAGAGAGCATGCAGGAAATTTGCCAATGCAAATGACAATTAACATAAATGTGTGCAAAATGCCAGCAATAGTGAGAAAACACAAGAGAAGTGAAACCATGGAAACAATGCTAGTGTGACACCCACTTAATTCTGGGTGATTAGACATAGCACAGTAATTATAAAAGCTAGGCTTTTATATATGTACTACAGATTCTTTAGTACTGCATTTTTTGTTCTATCCACACAGGCCACTGAAATCTTCAATCAGATTTAAATATTAAGGCTACATGTAGAGTTGCATAATTATTCCTCACCTCAGTTTGGGAATACACAACAATTTCTTCCAAGCAGTTACTACTAAATGTTTAGAAAGGAGAGGAGAGGAGAGGAGAGGAGAGGA